GTTAATAAGACGCCGTCTGTTCCGGCAGGTGAAGGGCTTCCTGTGGTTGGTCAGCTGCTAGACCGTGACCACGTGGGCAGGTCTCCGTCACATAGACCCTCACCAGGCCTGAGGTCACGCAGACAGAATGTGATGCCCTCTGAGTCAGCTCCTCATGAAAACGCCCTGAACTCTAAACGTCACGCGATCGTCTAGTTTTACTTGTGAACCGACAAAAACAATCAGTGTCTGGGGAAGAATCCAGCCAAGATCTGAACGCAGGCATCTTCTCTGGGTATGAAGGAGGTGCTAACCATGTCCAGATGTTGGGAGGAGCGTTGGAACTGAGGAGGACTGAGGCGAGCAGGACTTCCTGGAGCTCTGATGTGACGGCTTTCATATCGAGATGAAAACACTCCGCCGTCCTCATCCAATAAAACGTCTGATCTCCAGCTGATCTTTTCTTGTTCTTTGTCAGAGGACGATGTGTACTTCACGATCTCCTGCTTTCCAGCTGTTTTCTGACCGCCGTCTTCTCGTCGGTGGTTCCACCAGAGGGCGTGGTTCTCATGAATCAGTTTTATATGACGCAGCCTCCCCAACGAGTCCGGACAAGTCGGGGTTAGCTCATCGCCCGAGATCACATATTTCTGGCTCGTGTCAGACACGAAGACACGAGTAGTGACACGTTCAGGGACCTTCAAAGACTGAAGAATTCACGCCTTCATCTGGTCTGATGTTAAATCTGATTTCTGCCAAAGCTTTCACAGGAAACTACCGACATTCAGACTATAATGAAGCTTCTGTGTCTGCAGCACTGACTCCATCTTCAGTGTAGGCCAGATATAAAAGCACCAGAGCTCCTGAAGGAGGCTCAGCAGCAGAACCACACGGGTCAGGTCACCTTCATGAACACGCGGTCCAGACGTGAACTGCCCACAGGGTCAGATCAGGGCATGAAATGGGCAAAGTTCATGAGACGTATGCTAAACTCCCGTAGCACAGATGGTGACGGTCGCTGCATAGACAGTCGAACAGCCCAGAAACGACAGGAAACCCTTCATCTGTCAGACTCTCCTAATGAAGGAGTAGAACAGAAGAGAACAGAAGAGAACAGAAGAGAACAGAAGAGAACAGAGTAGAACAGAGGAGAACAGAGTAGAACAGAGTAGAACAGAGGAGAACAGAGGAGAACATCCTTTATCAGGGGGAAATCTGCAACGTCACAGAAAGAGAATCAAGCAAACGCGACCATAAATCACCATCTGTATGTCTATATGTACATAAGAACGACAGAAGAACACAAAATGAAGAACATTTGCATGAATGCATCACACTTGGGTTTACTGCGCGTGACCGTTAGCTAGCTAGCGGTCATCATGTGAGTGTTGGTGTACACCGGATCTGAATACATCGCTGGACTCTGCTCATTGATGTCTTTTTATTTATTTTGTATGTGGCCTGTATTTAACCAGGTCGCTCCCATTGAGATGCTGGGAGCTCTTTTTCGAGGGACGCCGGCCAAACAGCGGCCTGAGGAACGTTAAAGTTACGACAATGAAAAACAAACGACGTGTAACAGCGTAAGTGGAAAGGAGGCAGCAGAAGAACAGAATCCCAGTTTAGTGGTTTCACCAGGTTTTCTGTGTGAGATTTGAAAGAACGCTGATCATCAGTTGAAATGAAAGCCACTTGTAACAGGTCACGAGTTCAGTCTCACGCCCTGGGACGGGACTCGAGTACTTTCCTGCCACTGGAGAAAATTATCAACAAGGTGTAGCTCAATGAGCTGACGTCCTCCAAGGCCTCAGCAGGATGCGACTGTATCATCAGCATGGAAATGGACTCTGGCATCTGGGACATTTCTGCCCAGTGTGTCTGCATACATAACAAACAGAAGAGGCCCCAGAACTGAGCCCTGGGGCACGCCAGGAGGAACATGGAGCAGTGTGGATGAGTTGCCTTCAACAGAAACACACTGCTTTCTGTCAGACAGATAATTATCAAACACAGCTTCACAACGGAGTGGCCCGCTGTCTCAGAGGCTTAGAGAGGTCCACAGAGAGGTCCACAGAGGTCCACAGAGAGGTCCACAGAGAGGTCCACAGAGGTCCACAGAGGTCCACAGAGAGTCCGGACACATGTTCTCTGGTCCGGCCGGTCTAAAGATGGTCTGAGAGGCTGGGACATTTCATAGGGCTGAAATTTCAAAGCTATATATATGTATATTTTATATTTATATTTTATATTATGATGTAGAAACCAGGAAGCAACACGTCTCCAGATGTTAAACCCTGGAGCTCACGTGGCCTCCTCGCCCTGCAGATGTTGCTGTTCTTCACAGAATCGACTTCATACAAACTGTGTGTTTCTGCCATTATTTGAAACGACACGCACAGGAACCTAACCGGACATCAGGTGTTTGTGGGTCGAGTCTGTGAACGTTGCCAGTCCTTCAGGTCTTAGAGGACCTGGATGAAGGTGGAATGTCTTGGAGAACCAACATCCGGAGATAATTTATGGACCAGCAAAGAGTTTTAATGGTTTTCCACTCGTCTGGGATCATGAAACCTTTTTACTGCTTTGTGGAAGAGAGCGATGAGCAGAGAAACGGTCTGGAACGTGGAGGTAGTTCAACATCAGCAGGACGAGGAGACGACGTGAGCTCCAGGGTCTAACATCTGGAGACGTGTTGCTTCCTGGTTTCTACATTTCTGTAAAATAAAAATGCAAAAACAGCTTCTCTCTGGTCTTCATGGTTCTGAGTCCTGCTGACAGGAGATGTCTCTGAGTTCTGTCTCCTCCTTCATGTTCTGGTTCCACAGAGCTGCAGAGGAACATGAACCTCAGTGAAGGAACATGAGCTTCATCTCAGAGCTGATGAAGGTTCAAACTCTGTCCTTTTATTATCACAGAAGATGAGCTGTGGCTTTGTTCTTCTTTTCCTGAATTCTTCTGCGGTGGTCCACCAGCTGCTCTGTGGGAACGTCGCTTTGATTTCATGACTTCATTTGGTTTTCTGTGTAATAAAGACGATTCTTCTGAGTCTGTGTCCTCCACCTTCTTCTCTTTAGTCTGAAGTGCTGCTCTCACATCGTTCTTCACACGTTTGTGTTTTTCTGAAAACTTTATTATAACTTTATTACTGAAACATTTTCGGTCATAAATTTCTTAATTATTCAATTTGTTGTTTAAAAAAAAGTCGTTTCTTGTTGTAAAAATCATCGTTTTTCTCTGAACGTTGCATCTTTCGTCTGACGTATTGTTTTTGTAAATCTGATTCAGTTTCAAACTTCCAGGTTAGAAAATCTGCGTTGTTCATGAATCATTTAGTTTCTCGTTAATCTCTGACTTTACTGTCGGATTGTTCTCGTCCTGGTGGTTCGGTGTCCAGTCACAGCGTTCATCTGGAGGCTGAGCGCTGACCGATGGAAACGTCCATCCATCATCTCTACACCTTCATCCTCACTGGGGGGCGGAGCCTATCCCAGCTGACTCAAGGTGAAGGCAGGTTCACCTGGACAGGTAACCAGTCTATCACAGGGCTACACTTAGAGACAGACAACCAAGCACACTCACATTCACACCTACGGACAATTTACAATCACCAATTAACCTCAGCATGTTTCTGGATTGGCTGCAGGTGGATCAGTGGTTAGCACCGTTAGCGCCTCACAGCTAGAAGGTCGCCGGTTGGCGTCCCGGTGAGGACACCCGGGATCTTCCTGCGTGGAGTCTCCATGTTCTCCCCGTGCAGCCTGGGTTCTCTCCGGGTTCTCCGGCTTCCTCCCACAGTCCACAAACATGCTGAGGTGGTGATTGAGAGACGAGAGACTTCCACAGCAGGTGGGACAGCTTTAGTTCTGTTGTCCTACAGAGTCAGTTTGGAGCAAATCAAACGTTTAATGAGACCAGATGTGGACTGAAGGGATTCAAGTTTCTACTTCGATTTGCTCGTTCTTCACGTGATGTGTTCAGGTACCCCCACAAAGCTGGAGCCTGCCGACTCTTGGTGCGTTCACAGTTTGCGGCTGGTGGAGACGTTCTAGGACGCTGAGCAGCTTCAGACACGTTTTAAATCACGGTGAAGTGGGTTCTCTCCCTCTGGAGCTTCTCTTTGTTCCTCCTGGAGGCTTTGATGCTTCTCAACACGGAGTCAGGTTGGATTCAACGAGTCAACGAGTGACAACAGGCTTCTACAAAGTCAAGGTGATTAAAAACGTAGAATCAGAGCGTATTGATACTGACTTTACTTCTCATTCGTACCATTTAACGGACAAACTGCTGCTCCGCCACCGAGCAGAAGAAAAGCTCAGAGTCGACTCGTCCTTCACATCAGCACGTTTATTGTGAATTAAAAAAAGAATCTAGCAGTTCATCAACAAACAGGAGCTTCTACTGTACGAAACGCTGCAGCGTCACACTTCAAGTTCAAGTTCTCTCCTCAAACTGGGACTTGTTCTTCAGCAGGAACGCTGCCAGATACTCGATGGGGTTCGGAGGCCTGAAACACAGAAAGGAAACCTTCAGGACCGAAACGTCGACTGGACAGCGTTTGACCAACACGTGAACAAACACAGCAGCTGAACTCATCGTTACATCATCAGGACGTCAGAGCTACACGGTGATGATGTCACAGAAACATCCAGGAACAAAACCGGCTTCCTCAACATTCATGATTCTCTATGAACAAGTTACGACTGAGATTTCTGCTCACATGTTCTGATGGAGGAGACCAGAGTCCACTAAGTTCTGCTCACATGTTCTGATGGAGGAGACCAGAGTCCACTAAGTTCTGCTCACATGTTCTGATGGAGGAGACCAGAGTCCACTAAGTTCTGCTCACATGTTCTGATGGAGGAGACCAGAGTCCACTAAGTTCTGCTCACATGTTCTGACATCTAGAAACATCATCAACACCTTCTGCCCTCATGCAGCCCCACATCATGATGCTGCCACCTCCATGCTTCACTGTCAGGACCATGCATCCACTGTGGTGGTCCTGGTCAGGTTCACACCAAACATCTGGACTCCATGTGAGCCCAACACATTGTACCTGGTAGAGGTGTACGTACTGTTCCTCTCCACTGCATGTGTAGGACGTTCTGATTACGTTGTATGTATAGTTCACAGACACATTGTGGAACATTTCAGGTGTTGTGAGCTCCAACAGTGTTTCTCTCCTCCCACCTCTCCTTGGCGAGCACCGACAGCCCCTGCAGCAGGATGGGAACCACCGTCTGGTCCAGGTACGCTCTGGTGGGCAGCGCCTGCAGGTCCACCTTCTGCTTCGACATCTTCTCTGCGCTCGCCTTCTCGTTCTCTGCCGTCCTCTGAGGAGCAACAGCAAAGCATGCTGGGAGTCTGACCCTACCTTCTCATTATACAGACCACATGTGTGAGTGTGTGTGTGTGTGTGTGTGTATGTGCGCACGTGCATGCGTTACCTGGATGTTGTCTGTCAGGCCATACTCAGCGTGAGGGTTTTCAGACACCTGCAGGAGGAGCCATGTTGGCAATTTACACAAAGGAGCAACAC